TCCACGGCCTCCAGCAGCAGCTCCTGGTGCCCCAGGCGCCACACGCCCAGCGCCTCCAGGGCCCCCGCCGACAGCCCCAGCAGGTCGGGCCCCGCCAGCCCCCAGGCCTCGAAGGGGTACCCCTGCACCGCCGCGTCCAGCCCTGCCCACAGCCCTGCCCTAGCGCCAGCCGGACACTGGGGGGGCCCAGCACCCCCCCACTGGTGTCCCCACTGGTCCCCGGTCGGGTGACCCCAGGGGTGACGCCTGGCTGCTGGGAGGGCCCTCTCCGTGCAACGAGTTCGCCCGGTCTCAGCCCAGATGGCGGGGATGGCCGGGCCCCCACCCCACCCAGATCCAGGGACTGACCCACCCCAGGGACAAGGGGCGAGGGACGGGAAATGGCTGCCACCCCCCCAGCCATGCCAGCTCACCCAGATGTCCCCAAGCCAGGGACAACCCGCCTCAGACCCCCGCCCCAGGGCCAGCAGCGGGGTCCCCTCCCTGTTGGGGGGCAGCCGGGGCACGGGGAGGCCTCACCTCGGAGCCAGGCGGCCACCTGCACAGGGCCCCAGGCACCCACGGGCTCCATGGCGGCCAGGCCGGAACCGGCGGGGGGGGGGGGGGGGGGCCCCCGGGGCCTGCCACTCTCCTACCCCTGCCCTTAAAGTGGGGGCTCGGGAGGTGGCCAGGTGCTCCATCTCTGTCAGTGCCGTGAGCTTGCACCAGGAGAGTGAATGCATGTTGGCTTTTCTTCAGTGTTAAGCAAATGAGTTTGGCTCGTTATTTCTGCAAAACCTTTAAAAAAGAATGACCTCCAACTGCAAAAAGTCAGCCAAAGTGTCTCAGCAAATCCTCCTCGGGCATGGCAGGGTTAAGGGGGCTCTGCCTGCACAGAGCCCCCCAGCAAGGCAGGCTCAGCTTCAGGGCAGGAACCTGCTGTGGGGGTCCTCCAGCAGCAGCCATAGTGGCATTGCTCTCCCCAACACCAGCAGCTTTTCTGTGCCAGGGAGACATGCTCAGGACAGTGGCAGCCCTAAACAGCATGGAGGTGGGGGCCGGCAGTGGG